AGGAGACTCCAATAAAATGAAGAGATCGACTTTATACAGTCTCCCATGCATATTATGGCATCGCTTTTGTGGCTGGTTTCGTTAGCGTCTCCACCACCACTAAAAAAATATAGAGCGTTAATTAAATATCTCTCAAGATGATGTCTGTATCGCAAAATAATTCGCGTTTAAAGAAGCTTTCCGATATACCTATATAATTTGCTGTAGTCGATGCAGTGAGATAAAAAGGTAACGAATGTAACTACAAAAAAGAATTGCAGTAATTCCAAAACTTCTTGGAGCATCATACAGACGAAGCCGTGCTGCTGGTGATAGTGGTACATTCGCGTGAAGAATGAATCTAGATCTTCGATGTGATTCCATCGTGCTTTGTTACCCTCCGGAACTACATGGATGATGACGCCTGATTCTTGAGGCGCTTCCTCGCGATCGTCTTCATCGTCTGCGTCTTCCTCCTGTCCCTCGTAAGGCTGTATACGTTGATAACTACTGTCCAATACCGTCGTCATCTGCAAACGCGATTTACATAGAGGTATTATATCTTAAAGATTATATCTTCACTAGATAAATGTCTAAATTAATAAATTTCCAAATTATACACAATAAAAAATTCTCTGGAAAAAAATGTACATTAAAATTAGAATGCAAAAATAGAAGTAATCGTCATATCTTACCGTTTGTGCTCGTCGGTCAGGCTCTACGCAGGTAATGACAGTTTCTCGTTTCATTCTTTCATGTCATAAAATTTATTTATTTTAGCTACCAGTTGATGGTTGCTCCACAAGCATCTAGAATACAAATCAATTATTAAAATAATATTAACGAAACAGCAGTTTTTGATTGCTATACATTTTATTTCATAAAAAAAAATATATATAAAAAATTAAAGGTGAATCTTTACAAGAAAATATTGATTAATACAATAAATTAATTAATAAGCATTAAATCTTCGTGAAAGATTATAACTGCCTATTCACATTTATTATAAGAGATTTTATATGCATTGTCACTTGAGCTTTCTCGAGTTTAAAATTATCTTTCGAGAGAACTGTTACTCATTAAACGCTAATTTTAGCACACAGGTAATAACAAAGGTAACGATAACAACAATCAACTGTAGCACAAAGAAAGTCACATCTTTATGAATAACTTTCCTCTCTTATCGCGAATCTAAAACCAACAACTGCTATTCAAGTAGCGTTGCGAATGCATGCCGTTTAAATACAATTTTTTCTTTATCATCGTTTCTTTCAAAATTCCCTTTATTGCGCGTCTTATCGCGAGATTAATTCTCCATCGATCAGCCGATTACTCATCGAATCGTACATTTCACCTTGACCATTTCCCTAGCTTTACATTAATGCGACACACTTCTTTTTCGCGCCCACTTCCTTCCCGAATAAAGTAAATCTCTCGAGACGTTTCGAAGAGGCCAAGACTCTATATAAAACACCTGCAGCGCGAACCTGAGCCTCTCGAGCGCAGCGAAATTCGTCGACACTCTTTCGCACAGAGACGCGACAAAGCTTTACGATGCTCCGAGACGAAACGCGACCATGCGACTTGGGGGACAAAAGCCTGAATTGCGCTCTTTTAGAAAAAGCGCAAAGGAACAATGGACCTCTTCCCTCTCTCTCTTTCTCTCTTTCTTAGCTATAGGTATAGGATCCCCGCGGTGGGGTCAGGTTTCTTCCTTTTCCATCTCATTTTTTTTTGTTCCCTTTCCGAGAAAGCTCTTTGGAGTTGTCCGCCCGGACAACGACGGTGCAGCACGTCACACGTGCGAGCAGGTCGTTCTTCGATCGCCTCGTCCTCGCGATCTCGCATTCGGGTTTCGGCTGACCTTTATCCGACGAAAATAGCAGCGTGGCTCGCTGCGTGGTCGCGCGAGTCGCGAGGGCGCGCGAAACGGGAAGGGTGACGCGATGTTTGGGGACACAGCTGATCTTCATAAACAAAGGCACATCCTGCGCCGTCCGCGTACCTTCGTGCCGCGACTCCAACGAATCCCGACGGTCCCCCCCCGGGTCCACGACGAATCCTCCTCGGCTCCGGCGCGACTCAATCCCAGCTGCGGGCTACGCGCGACTGCCCGCTCGCATATCGGCCGCCGTCCGCGCGATTATTCACTGGCGATTTAGACATCAGGACGTCCGCGCGTCGGGACTACACATCTGTCTCTCCGCGTTGCACCATCTTTGCTGAGCTCGGCTCTCGGTCGGGTGTCGGGTCCGTCCGTCGAGTCTCCTTCTCCTTCTCCTTCTCCTCCGTTCGTGGGAGATCGGAGATAATCCAGTCATCGGTCGGTGGCGACGACGAGGAGATAGACGGCCGTCGGCGAAAATGAATCGCGAGAACAAGCGCGACGATTATCGGCGGTCGACGATGGAAAGGTTAGGTTGACTTTGAGAGACACTAACCGCAGATATAGAAGCTTGCGACAATTATACATCGTATGTCACGTAAGAAGCACGATAAATCTCAAAATTAAAACATTCGAGGAAGGAAAAACATCATTATCGCGTGTCTCATGCATAAAATCTGTGCGAAATGATTATTTTAGACAAAATTACATGGCGTCTTTTTTTTCATATTTGCGACGTACTTTATGTATTGCCGATTGCGTGTTATAATTTCGATCGTAATATTTCCGAACAACCTATAGCGCGTCGTAATATTTATTTATTCATTATTAATTACAGTGATTTTAACTAAACTCTGTTTAACTTAATTAATCGAGAATTTTTCCATATGTTAAACAAAAAATTAATAATTTTATCCGTATTAACAAGATAGTGCAGGTTGATAAATTAATTTTGACAAATTAATCATCGATTAATTTAACATTTAATCGGACTTTGATCGATCTTTGGTCATTAAATTGACTCACGCCGTATCGCGCGGTATTGGCGTGAAATTGTCGCTATATTCGAATTTCTCGGGAATTTCAGTAACAAAGCGTCGCAGACTGTTACGTGCGAGACGCAGCGTATTTTAAAGCGTTGGAAAAGATAAGACACCGTCTTCCTCTTGATCAGGCTTTACAAATAACATTTTATTAAAGATAAATGCGAAAAAGAGCGACGGGTGTAGCACCGCCGCGTCGGTCGGTAACCCGCGCCTACCGTTACCGCGAGAAGTTGGCCGCGCGTTTTTCGAACGCCTTCGCCTGACGAGCGAGTTCAGCGTTCCTTCGCCATTTTAGATTCGCACGGGTTGAGATGCGGAACGTCGCGAGTACCGTAGTTTCGTACGTCTCGTATTTGAATAGGTTTTTCGCGTTATTTCTTCGTTGTGATGTGCCAAAACGCGCGTCGCGTCGTCGCGATAACGAAGCAATATTAGGAGCGTCACGCAAAGCGTCGTACGATCGTATTCCGGTGATTATTTTGCGCGCGTCGCGTACGCCAAGGATGCCGTATGAAACATGGGGGGGGGGGGGGGCGCGTACGAATTTTTCGGGGATCGTTCAGATCGTTGTACGCGTCGCGGGCGATCATTTCGGGAGTGCCGTGCAAAGTATCGCGCGATCAAATTTTGTCAGTTATAATACGCGTCGCGCGCGATTATTTCGGGAGTGCCGTGCAAAGTATATCGCGCGATCAAAAATTTTGCCAGTTATAATACGCGTCGCGTGCGATGTCGGGAGTCACGGGAGTGCCGTACAAAGTATCGCGCGATCGTATTTCGGTGATTAGGTCTTGCGGTAATCAACGGGCGTAATTTTCGCGAGTGCCTTGCCGGTATGACTGCCATGCAGGACAACGACATGGAAGTATGAGAGGAGGAGGAGGCCTGGGAGGCATCGGGCCACAGCGGGGCAACCGTTAGGTAAGGAATTATTTATTTATTAATTATTTCTTATTTTGTGAAATTTATCGTTTATCCATGAGTGATAAGCGAGTGTAACATTTCATTGATGTAAACTGTTTAAACTGTTTAAAGGATGAATACAAAGATGCATGCAATAATTTTTCAAAAATTAATTATTTTGGACACTATTTTAATTTGAATTTATATTTATGTTTTACAGTCGTCATGTACTCGTACTGCAACTCCGCTGCTGCGCATCGTATTGGTAAGTATTTGATTTATTTGTTATCTTTATATTGATACGATAAACTTTTGTGAAAATATTGAGATTTAAAGCGTGTGCAAAATATGAAATATTAAGGAATTAAAAGTCTTTCTAACACAATTACTTGTATTATATTAAATTTAATATAAAATATAAAAATTTAAATTTGCTATGATATATACAGTAATAAAATATTTGCAATTACTTTTATTTAATTGCTTGCTATCTGAATGCATTATTATGGGGAGATATCTCCAAGTATACTATTTGTTCAGATTTTATTACATTTACTTTATCATATCTATCTTATATCTAAAAATTTAGAAATCGAAATCACAAGTGTAAGAATATTTTGAATAAGTATAACATTTTATAAACACATTGCCCTGAAATAAATTGGCTGGGATAGTTTAATGCCATTATTTAATTTTATAATATATATTTATCCGTCAATTTATTGCGCGTGTGCATAAAATAGAATTCACAAGAAGCATAAAACAATACATTTGTTAAAATCAATTTATTATCATTGTCCAAATTTACTTTCAATTTATTTTTATTTATTCCGCTGACTCCCAATAGCTAAAAAACATATTAATCTTTTGCGAACATTACATTTTTGGAGGAGGTAAAATTAAAAGAAAATGTAACACAATTAACTTTATGTTTAATTGCAATATTTACAGTGTATCTTGGAACATTGTAATTACAAAAGTACCCTTACGCATTGCACACGCAGTAATAATTCTAGAAATACATCCTCGGGAGAGGATGTTATTACATATGTATATGTATATCTATGCATGTATCACGTTAGAGATAGTACTTCGATAACTTCGCAAGCGCTAATCATTAAATAAAACTCACCGAATTAAATATACGATAGTTACAATTATCGCAGCATATATAGACTTGAAAATACTTATTTATCTCGTTATTGCGTTGGGTTATAATTATTATTGTCATCCGCGCGAAGATGATATATATCGTGTTTATAAATCGGTTTAACATAGTAAATGCGTCGACCGATAGCTTACGATAGGATCGTTGATCATATTATTAAGATAGTCGTTGAACATCGACGCATAATTCATCGTCTACTTCACCTAAACTTTATACGTGATTCCGGTAAACAGTAAAAAGGAACGTCCGTCACAATCTTACAAAATTATAGTTCATGATAATGTTTTTCATTATTCTTATTTTTACTAACAATGAATCTGTCGATAAAACAATTTAATGTAGTTCAAAATTGACAGGACGTTCATAAATACCAAATTAATTACATGAAGTAGTATTATCTCATTTAATGTTGATTGGAAAGCACTAATTCAGATGTTTCACATATTTACTATGTCGTATGATGAACGCACGTTCAGGGGGCAATTAAAACTGTATTACAAACTTAATCTTTTAAGAGAAGCTGTTCTCGTAAAAGACACTATGTACACCTGCCGTTTTCGTCGTAACACGCGAGATGCCATTTTATCGATCAGAGAAAAATATGAGGGGAAAACCGTTAAGCGAGAGGGAATATTGGAAGATCTTGCTCCGAAATTGGCATCCGGTGTATCATTTAGTGAATTGAGCGAACGACAGGATGCCTAATTTATACTCTTCCGTCTTCGTATCTCGATTAGTCACAGGAATCGTCATTCGGATCCTTGGTTCGCGGAGTTCGGAACGTCGGTGTCATCCTTTATTCGCGGGCGGCTATCTGACCTGGACGACGCGCCGGTATCCTGCGTCGGGGTGCCAGGAGGCCGCTCAGACCGCGCGTCTCCTCGTGCTTAGTGCTGGCCGCCGTGCTGGTCTCGGCGAAGACCGCCTCGGTCGGCTCGGTCTCGCTGGCGGTGGTTTCCTCTTCGGAAACGGTCTCCTCCTGGCTCGATTGGGCAGCTGGAGTCTCGGTTACCTTGCGTCGCGGTAGCAGCGGCGATCTCCTGATCGCCGGCGATATTGATGGTGACTTTGTCGTGGTCTTCGGTTGCACCTGCAGCCGATTACGGTTACGCAATTTGTTCAGAGGATTCGATGTGGTAGCTTTTGTCGGTGGGCTAGTTTCTGCTGGCGCCTGAAGAACAAAGAAGGTGATTAGTCGAATAATTTAGGCGAGTAATACTTGCTATTTCTCGAAATTTGACGTTCTATCGAAACTTGACTGAAACGTGAGAAAGTTACTTCTGAATTTTGTTATTACTAGAATTTTTGGAAAGAGAATACGTTACATTTAAACAATCTATTTAAAAGTAAATAAATAAATTTCTTAGATTAATGATAATTTTTAAAATAAATTATGAAAGATATACAAAAAAATTCTGTTTTTTTTTTAATTAGTCTATTTATCACAATGAAGCTTCATTCTTTGCTATTTTCCTTTTCTTTCTCTCTCTTTTTTCTGTTTTCATCTTTCAATCTTTCATTCTTATCAATGCTCAAATATTCATAATTCATGACCGCGAAGTTGTAAAGTCGAAAGGTGAAAAGCGATCGCGAGCCGTCTCTCGCCGTCGATGACATTTCGAAAGGCCATCCAGTGAAAGTAAATTTCAAGAGAGAACTTTATCGAGTGACATCACGTTGTCCTCGTAACTAATCTTGCAAAGTATGCAGTTACCTCGCGATACAAATACACGTACATATTTGAGGCAGAATTTCAGAGTTGACCTTACCTTTGGCATGCGGAATTGTTAGATCGAGAAAAAGAGATATCTGCATAATTATACGACTTGTTCAGTAATAGATACACATTTGTTGAAGTATCGGTGTGTATAATTCGATTTACTTAGCCCAGAAACAAGTTATTTAATAGACAACAAAATTTTTTTTACAATTTCTGTAGTTCTGTCTATAAATTTAAAAATAAATCTGCATAATCATCAAGCTTATATTTATAAATCATGTTTTATGAGAGAAACACTAAATGGTCATAGTCTTCAAATAGTTCAATATTCAATAGAAACTTTGAATTTTGAAATACATTGAGAGATATATAGTTTTATATATGAAAAAAAAAGAGAGAAAGAGAAAGTATTAAAAATGCGAAAGCATAAAATTTAAGTATTAACCTCATGAGTCTCCTCCTCGGTTCCTTCTCCGGCCGGTTCCTCGACGGATCCCTCAGGGACTTCCGGTGCGAGCGTCGTCGTGGTCGTCGTCTGTCCTGGTTTCTGTCTCAGGTTGACTCTGCCACCGGGTCTTATGGCCGGTCTGATGGCAGGCGCGCCAGGAGGTCTCGTGCGAACGGCGGACTTCGGGGTTGCGCTGTCCGGCGCGGTCTGGGCGACGGTCGAGCCGGCTTCGGGATTCGTTACACCCTCCTGAGGTTCCTCGCTTCCCGGCGCGGCTGTAGTCGGTCGTCCCCGTCTCCGGTTGATGTTTACCTTGTTGAAGGTAGGCCGTGCCGCTGCAGGCGACGTTGCGCCGTTCGACGGCGCCGACGTTGTCGTGGAAACGGCGATTCTGCCGCCGGCAGGTGTGCGGAATCTGCCGCGACCGGCTGGCGGTTTTTCCGCGTTCGTCGAGCCGACGGTCTCTTTTTGCACAGTGTCCTCTTCGATCGGCTTGTTACCACCCGGTCGCGGTCGTTTGAATCCACCGTTCGAACCATTACTGCCGAAACGCGCTCGAGTTCTTTGAGTCGGCTCTGCGGATGCTTCGGTCGTGCTGCTAGTGCCGCTGTTAGACTTGAATCTGATGAAAATTGAAGGCAAAATTATGTAATTCTCATTACTAAGAAACTTGTAAGAGAGAATTTTTAGAGCAAAACACGTAAAAAAAAAGAAATAAGAAAATACTAATTCTACTAAAGATATACCGATTTCTCGAGATAGCTGGGCCGCCAATTCCAGGTCGTCGGAATTTCCCTCTTCCTGCGGGGGCTTGAGTGGTGGTAGTCGTTGGTTCTGTGGTCGTTGTCGTTGTGGTCGTCGGTTCAGTCGTCGTCGTCGTTGTCGTCGTACTAGTGGACTCATTAACGATCGTAGAATCCGCCAATTCCGCCGTTGTCGTTAAGTCGGTCGTATTCTCGTCGTCGGATAAAGTCGTGCTGTCTCCAGCTGTTTCACCAGCTTCGCTGCTGGATGCGTCTATCAGATTGCTTTGTCCTTGTTGCAGGAAGGCATAAAGATCTAGGGCAACCTTGTCCATGACCGACGGATATTCCGTCGTTGGGTTATCCGTGGGGTCAGGGCTGACGCTGGGATAGATCGGCGAGGTTTCCGTCTCACTGGACTCTTGCGCCCTGTCCTCCAATGATACGCGTTTGTTGCCGGATCTTTCCGGTGCGGCATCTTCCTCTTCATCGTCCTCTTCGCTGAAACGCACCGGTTGACCTCTGCTCAGTTCCACTCCGGTCTGAAAATTAATTTGGCCGTGTAATTTAAAATTCCTTATTTTAGTATTGCAGAATATCTCCGTGACATGAAAATATAGTTTCAGTTGTAACGAACTTATAGCTCTTGTAATGAAATATTTGCGAATCTAATTAGACATTAAAAATGCATTTGATCACGAAGTACTATCTGATATTTATTTCTGAATTGATTTTTTGCAGATTGTATTGTACATACTTTAATTATTTAATGTTAATATTAATGTTTCCATTTTTGTGATCAATTTGATGTACATACTTACATTAGAATCTTTTTGATTGTTCTTAAGGTTAGGATACAACTTTGCATTTAAATATTTTTTTCCAATAAAACAATTTATTTTAATGTAGTTAGAATAACTACCTCAGTCGATGCTGTGCTCAGGCGTCTTCTAGGTGTCGGTGAATCATCAACATTTTCTTCGACAGGAGCGGGTTCTTGAACTCTCTGTGGTCTTGCGCGATTTCTGAACAAAGGTTCATTGTCCTCATTAGGGGTAACACCTAAGAATCTAACAGGTCCTTTCGGCAAGGTTTGCGGAAACTCGGGACCTTCTTGATGAGTCCGGAAGCTACTGGAATCAACCAGATCTAGATTCGGTCGCGGTCGATTACTACGACCTCGTGAAGGTTCCGTTGTGCCTGTGTTGTGATTTGATCGTGATCTGTTAACAATTAGTCGTATAATTAATCGTATTTTACATTAAAATATAAAGTTTTTGATGGTAGAAAGGTTAGAAATGTTAAACAGAGAAAGAAGATAACTAAAGAGAAAATGTAAATATATTTCTCGAAGATATTTCATTTTTTACAAAAGATTGTCATTGTATTATTAATAGATACCTCGGTGGGAAACGAGTGTTCGTGGGCAGTCTTTCCTCGGAAACGTCTTCAGTTTCGACCAGCTGTCTGCCTCTATTTCCATTTCTATTTGGTATAACCTCGTTATTGCTAGGTTCCACAGTGCTCGACCTCTCCACGGTACTATACTTGCTCCTGTTATTGGGGGTGTTCGCTCTCCTGGGCGCCGACGTTGTTCTGGAAGGAATGTCGTAAGAATTCGTCACAGCCGAACCCGCCGTACCTGCTTTGTTTTCATCCTCCTCGTCGTAGTAATAATACACGTACTCGTATTCGTAATCCTTCCCGTTCGGTCCTTTCTTCACCTGTTAAATATAAAAGAAGCCAAGTTGCAATTTGATCGAAAAAATGTGATTTCTGAGAGAGAGACAACATAAAAATAGAATTGCATATATATATGGTTGCGTTTGGAAACTTCACTCGGGTGCACACCAGCGTCGCGCGCGCGTTCTGTCTTTGTTTAATTTTTAATAAGTAACAAAGATAAAACGATGCTGGTGTGCACTCGAGTGAAGTTTCCGAACGCACCCTTATTGTTTATATTCATTGAGGAAAAAAATTCTCGTCGCGCATTTTTTTCTATATATTAAACTAAATATAAGTGTAAAGAGAATGTATAGTTCATTAATTGTATAATGTACCTGAATACGAGAATTCGTACCAGCCGGTACCAAACTCACGTCACCCAGGTCTCCAAAATTCGCGTCCGAAAAACGCGCATAGCCATCTTTGCTATCCTCGCGAATAATGTTTACGGGAACGAAATCAAAAAGGCTGTCTTTGCTACGTGCTTCACGTGGAGTTGTTAGGATGGGCAGCATAGTTGTTGGATATTCCGCGCTAAAAATAATATCGCGTTATTATTGAAATACAAAAAGAATGTAATTTTTTATATTTTGCATGTGAAAATAGTTATACTAAAAAAAAGAGAAAAAGAGAAAAACAGAAACATATAATTGATAGAAAAATAGACAAAATCACGTTATTCTTTTAAATTTAAACAAATGCAGATAAAATAGAATGTTTCATGGTTCAGATATCGATAAAAATTCAAAGAAATTATTATTAAGAAACGGTAAAAATAAAGGTAAAAATATTTAGTTTCAATTAATTACTTATCGGTTATTATGGATTGTCAGAAATTTATTTCATCGCGTTTATTTATGGAGATACTCGTGATGAAACAAGTTGCACAAAAATGCCTTACCTGACGTAGACTCCCGGAATAACCTCATCCTGTTCGATCGGCCGCGGCCTTTTAGAATCAATTTTCTTTATTCTGCCTTCCTGCAGAACCTTTCCAGTGTCGCTAAAATTTTCGAGCTCGACTCGTGCTTGTCTTTTAGCGGTGAGACTCTCCAAATCCTCCTCCTGGGTCAAATCCAAACGTCTGGCAGGCTCGAGGGTAACCACTTTTTTCTCGTTATTCTCGAATTTCTGAGTGACTTTCTTAGTTTGTTTATTGTCTTTCAGCGCGATTTTCTTTTCGTCAATGTATTCGTCATCGTCGTCTAATGGTTTTGCTACGTTTTCTGGCAATTTATGGGATGTCACAAACTCTGAAAAATCATTAAAATTTATAGTATTTTTTTAGATTTTGTGTGCAATTGTTTAAACATTCTGAAAAATTAGTAGAATGCAATAATTCTCGCTCGATAAAACAAAATAAAACAAAAACTCATTGTTCTTGTTTTATCTGTTAATGTTAAATTAATTTATCTTGCATTTGATTGAGCTGATACGCGGTTTCTAAATTTTCGTTTAAATTGATGTGCAATATACCATGCATACCTTCAATTGCGAGGGCTCGTGGTGGCTGATATGTCGTTGCCGCGACATTCTTTCGAGTCAAACTGTCACCGGATATCTGCACGACATCCGATGGACTGTCTGCTAGCATGCCCGCAATGACGCCGCATATTCTGCAAATTTTAATACAAAGACGCATTAATAAATCTAACGTGATTACTTTTAGATGTCGTAAAGTATAAGGAAAGTTCGAGCATTTGAAATGATTAATTTCTACGGTAGATCTATGTTATACAAATGTATGATTAATATAAAGAGAATATGAAAGAAAATTATCGTATTATCATATAGTTTAATGACACATCTTCAGCGAAAGTGATAAGGCGCGTGAGATGCAGGGAGACGAAGTGTAAACGATGACGGAATGTGTATAGCTAATGCAAGACTTGATTCGTGGTGAAAGTTCACATCTGGTTGTCGAATCGCAAGCTGCATTCGACGCTCGTCCGGTTCTCTCGATTCTTCTTCACACCCGTTGCGCAAAAATTAAAGTTCACCAATAACGCAAAACTCGAATGTCGTTCGCAAGAATATTTCAGCAATCTAAAGAATTTTGTAATTTAAACTGGAGAAAGTATAGCTTACTCTTATTTTATAAAAAATTTCATTTTGCTGAAGTGAGAGAATTCGCAGAAGCGAATAGAATTATTTTAATATCTGGAATAATTTTATTATTAATCTAATTTCTTTTTTTTATATTAAGATCTAGTTTTTTCAAATATTAAGATCTTTAAATATTAAGGCGATCCCCCGGATTCCAGCATACGACCTCGTCCTCTTTTTTTCCCAAGATTACCGAAATTGGCGACCACGGGACATATATGATAGCTTCCACAGTTGTTGACTTTTAACGCTATTAACATTTGCCTATTTCTGTTATATCACGTGATGTTTCTGTTATATCACGTAACAGTAATAAAATCTTGACATTTATAAAATATTTTCTACATTTCTCGTAGAGAACATCTTTCTAAAAAAAGCAGAGAGACAAGTTTTGAACGAGGTCAAAGAAAGAGTATAGTGAGATAATAAGTTTCTTGAATTCATGGCGTTGCATTTGCAAGGACGATTGGTTACAATCAATTTCCTTCATGAACGAAGGAGAGCCGCTTCTGAAATTAACACGAATACCTAGAGCTTTTTTCCTTCGGTAAAATGTAGCCGGCAAGGGCACTGTGCGTGGTCACGGAATTGTCATTTTAAAAGGTGATTTTTCTGATGCAATGCTATATGTGTATTTTTAAAGCAAAGTGTTAGGGTAACTTATGCATTTTAATATCGTAGCGGTTTTGCATGCATCATTAGTTATAATTTGCTTCGCTATATTATTTTTACGTTTACAAAAAGCAAAACTTGATTTTCCTAATATATGATTTTCTTAATATCACGGTTTTTGCTAATTATTCTCCTTTCTATTATAATTCTTAATTTTTTTATATATAAGAAAATAATCTATTTTTATCACGTCAACATATCGTATATTCATTATTTTGTAATTAATATGCTATACTTATGGAAGAGAAATAACCTACGACATTTACAACAGGAAATTGTTGTTTGAATATGCACCGTTCCGTTTGAGCGATCTTCCGGTACAAGAATAATTTACAACTGGAATACATTTACAAATAAAGTAGAACAAATTATAAGTCACGTTTTTTTCTTTCTACGCGATCGAATCAGCTACAGGATTGATAAATAACATTGTATTTTAATAGAATTTTTAAGTCATGGCTTTTTCCATTTTTTTGGAGAATAATTTCTCTGATTTAAAATTTTTCTCTGCAGCAATCCAGAATTTCAAGGTTTCCGTTTCGTTTAAGAAACATTATTGGATAAATGATATAAATATAAATACTTATATGTATACATATATAAAGTACTCTGGCATATTCTATATTCTTTATCTCGCTTTAGGAATTCTGAAATTCTCTGTCGCCAATATTTAATTATTTAATATTCAAAATAGAATTTTCAAATTATAGTTTAAAATTGATGTAGAATTATAGAAGTATCTACAATAATTTTAACTTTGGATATTTATAATTTGCCAATGCATTAGACATTAGACACACTGTGCTACAAGCTTAGATTTTTAAATAATTGAATTGTTACATGCTTACGTATTATGTTTTTGCGTGATCGATAAAAAATTTAACACAATCTACATATTTTAAAAAGATTAAATTTTTACATAAACAAGGAAAATATTTAGAAGCCTGTTTTAATCTTTAAAATTATTTTTTTTTAGCACAAACAAAATTAATTAAAGATTATGCTGTTCTGTATGTTTATGCAAAATTTCAAATTTTTTTAAAATTTTAATTTATCAAATTTCTGCGAAATATAAGTAAGAAATTTTAAGTTTGATAATTAAGAGATCAAGGTATCATAACGGCACATCCCACAACTCAATCTTAGATCGAAAATGGATGCTTAATGCAAGAATTTATCGCGAAACCGTATGGAGAAAGCGGTCTCGCTTACAAGCGTATCTGCATAAATATACTGCGTACGTAGGTATCTCCAGTGGCACGAGACAGTGGCATTACGTAAGTCACAATATTACGGCAAAAGCCTATTACCGACCCGTAAATGTTTTTTTTCGTACCGCCTACGAAACGTGGCTCTCTACGCATAAATTTGCTGAAAGTTTTAATAGGAAAAAAATGCAAAATTTCGATTACCTAGAATTTTTATCAATTTCTTTCTCGCTCTTTCTTATCTAATATCATTAATTATGAAATATATAGTATATCATGTAAAAATATATGTAACAATTTAATTATTTATAGATCCATTAACATAGCAATGCACAGTTTCCAGCCAGTATAGTAGGTAAACCATTTTTTTAATACATTGAAGTTAATTCTTACTAATCTTCCAGTAATTTAATTTAGTTATTTTGAACCAATAATATATGATAGCTTTAGTTAATATTTTAATGTCATAAAATTATCAACGAATTTGGCGTCAAATTTTTCTTGGCAATATTGAAATATTTGCTGCCATTTATTGCGGATAGTACCATAAAATTGAAAGGCGAATAAATGAGGCATTAAAAAATACAGTGATCTACTAATGTAAACTTTCTTTTGCGTACCAGCAGCTCTGTATCTGAATTTGTTTAACATTATATATATTTATTATATAAAAGAGTAATAATTTCATTAAAAATTCCACGTAATTTTATTTCTAAAGTAATATATATTATTAAATATAGATTACATTAAAAATATTTGATTCATATATTAGTCTAATTTTATAGGAAAATAGCTTTTTTAATAATGCAACATTATCATTAACTACACCATGAAATCGGAGTTACATCTATACGAATCGTGTATTTCAGTAAAGCGTTGTAAATTCATATTGTATTTGCCATACTCTCGCCAAACATAACAGTAATGCGGTTTCAAAATGCACGTCGTCTGACAATTACCTACTCACTTGTTTTACTTCGCGATGAATCTCGCGCGTTTAGAAAAATCTTAGATAAATAAAACGCTTAAAAATCTAACAGTAAATTAAGTGCATATGGAATCGATTTTATTTTAATTGCTCTTCAGTGGATATTTTGTGAAATGTATTAAAATAAATAATTATAAAATATAAAATATGTACATAATCAAATAAAAAATAAATAGTCAGAAATTGGTCAGTAACTAGATTCCTGGCTATTCTTTTTTATTTATTTATCTTCTACTCGAGTATATATATTTTATATACATATTATAAATTTATATATACATATATATATTTTTCTTATTTATATTAATATACATATTTTTTAAATTAGTTCTCATTTTACATATTTTACAATTTATACATAATTGAACATTGTAAGTTATGATCCAGTTGGACTAATTTCTTTCTTTGATCGACAGTTTGAAATTGAGGACACGTTGAGAGGTTTCTCCCAAATAAATTATACACATTCGCTTGAATGAAACTATAAGTAATTGGTGTATCTAAGAGAGTGAATCGTTGATTGCGCGCACCTTTCGCTACGATAATTCTCGTAATGCAGAAGCGTAATATCTCTTTTGCCCATGAAAAACCGCTCTTTCCTTCATATCGATAATCATCTATACATATATCATTAACCGTGATTTTATATGAATCGCTTAAACAAGAATTTTTTTCATTATTTCCGTAAGCTAAGGTAAAACTGATGTAAGTTAATGTAAGTCTTGCAAATATTGCATATATATTAGGATAATTTTCTTGATACATTAACACATCCTAATTACTGAGTTCTTGAATAATGGTTATAAAACATTAATTGAAAAAAAATTGGGATAAAATAGCAATTAAAATTTTAAGCTAAATTGACTTTATTCTATTGTTCGTTTTCCAAAGCAAAAGTTGCATAATTTTTTTATTATGCGCAAAAGTACTATAATAGAATTATAGTGCCAAGAAAGAACATTGAATAAAAAAATAAATATGAAATATTCGATGGTATTTATACAAAAATAACACGTAAATAGGAACTAATTTAGAAAAGCAGTGCATAGCGTGTTGTTACATCAAAGATACGCATGAACCGTTAACTGAAACTTAATTATCATTTTCAGTGAATGTGGAAAGGAATTTTTATAGAGAAATTAAGATTCAAACAGACAAACTGTGTCGAATCTATATTATTATTCGTGGATAACCGGTATTTTTCGGTAATTAAGTTATAACTTTCTGAATTCTTAATATATATTAGAAACTTAGTATTTAAATGTTAATTAAATGTAACATTTAAATTAGAAACAGTATCACGTGTCTCTCTTTTTGATATAACATCCATTTACGTATCTTTTGTTGTATTTTTAAATATAATTCAATCCGTTATCAAAGACAAGTAAAATCTCCAAATTTTAATCAATGAATTATTGGATTGTCAGTTGAATTATTCACTTTTTATTTCAAAAATCAAAAATATATTTTCCTGTACTTTATTATTTTTTACGCAGATTTACATTTGCATGTATAGAAAAAACTTTATTATACATGCAATGTTTTTAATATTATCAAATTATTTTTCGCGTTTCTTAGAAAATAAGGCTTTGCCGTCTCTTCTATAAGTAGCTAACTCAATTACGCTTAATTTTCTCACAAGTAAGATTTGATTTCACAAAGATCTAATTCTCACACGCGCCCGTCACTGAGATTGCTCTCTCAGATAAAAGAGAGATACGGAGGACTGGTGACTGATTTCTTGACTACTCACAGGAGCACGCTTCTTAGCCACATGTCTGCACTGCACACAGTTCTCTTCCTCGTCCTGCTCGCCTTTTCTCGTTTCACTTCTATCGTGGTACGTGAACAGCTGCTTCAGATTAACGAAACTCTTCTCAATATCAGTATATACCCGGCATATATCGGCACTTTCTCAAGAATATCGAGAATATATTCTCTCTGCAAATACTATCGATGTTGACGATGTTTTGTATATGTATAAGAATTGTCACCGGACACTCGCGATCATCTCTGTCCTCTTCTCGACCGATCGCGACCGGCACTCAGGGATCTAGTTCGCTGATATGTTCACTGGATGAGCCGATTCTCCAGGATGTAGCGTGTACGTGCGTTTCGGTCGACGTGACCTCCGTCCAGCTTCGTGACGCGACTTCGCCGACGAGGCGCGAAACGAATGAACGAATGGCAAAAGCGAACGCGCGCCGATAGACGGGGAAAAAGAAAGATCAAGTGAGAGTGTGCATACGTGTGCGTATATAAGACAGAGACAGAGAGAGGGGAGAGAGAGGGAAAGAGAGAAAGAGAGAGGGGGAGAAAAAGAAAAGATAAAAAAGTGGAAAAAGGGGCACTAAGTAAAAGTAAGAGGTAGCCGAAGGACGTGGTGAGGGTATGAGAACGGTGGCGAATGCAGGCCTCTACTTATACCGCCACCCACCACGGCCACCCGGAGTGCACCCCACCAGCCCATGAAAAGTGGACACCACGTAGTCGAACTCGACTCGACTCGGCTTGATACACTCGATCTACACACCGGGGGCCACCGGAGATCTGTGAGAGATCCTGGCTGGCTGGCTGCACGTTCGCCTGCCGGCATGTATCTCAGTCCAACCACCACCTGACTTCTCACGACGTCTGACCTGACTTCGCGAAGTACTGTTTCTCCTGAGTGTATTGAGAGGCTCGATTCTCTCTTTGTCTTGCATATATTGTCTCATGTTTGCACCGGGAATTGAAAGCAACGTGCGATTTCGACGAGTTGAGATTCTGTTTTAAAGCGAAAGATATAGGTATACGAAAATAATATCTTATTTGAGAAAGTGATTAACAAGTCTCAGACGCAATATTTGCGGGACTTTCGATGCTGTTGATTGCTTTCCGCTGCTATTAAATGATTTTAAAATTTCTCCTCACTACAGTGTAAAGTTAACACATGTAATTTTGCTCATCCGAACAAATATCTTCTCGACCCCTTTCTTTTTAAGTCTCTTCTTGCGAAGGAGTCTTCAGTTGCACAGAGAGGAATCTCACGAAGATTTCGAGGAAGCCTCGAGGATTGTCTCGATTAGCACGGATGCTTTCGTAATATGCAATTTCGCCTGAATCACTCCAAGTACAATACATCGAAAAGGCGGTTCTTGCATTAGAAATGCGGAGCTGATCGCGTCAAAGAGATCCTCTTCCAGAACGGTGACAAAATAAGAAAAGGAGCACGAGACCGTGAAATGTAAGAATCGCTCTTCGACGAGTTTGTCTTTTCCTCGCAGCGACAATCAGCGAAGCGCAATTCCGCCACGGATTACTAAGAGCGAAACGTGCTTGAAAGGATCGATAATCTTTATTGGGGCCATTGCATAAGTCGCTGCAGCATCTTCACTTCCTCCTACACTCAACAAAGAGATATCTCTTCTCGAGTTCTATCTTCATCTCGTTCAATTTTTATTGCCAGTCTATGAAAGTTACAAACTTTTCTGTCGAGTGTTAATTTTTTTCCCAACATAAGAACATATATTTTTTCTATTTTCTTAATAATCTCTCTTATCTCGTTTAATTATTTTATATGAGAAATTAGAATTGTATCAGTCGAATTGTATTGCGATCTAGAATAATAATATAATTTTTACTGAACTACATGTCGCCCAGCAAGTCTTAAAATTAAAAATATCGCTTTAGTTAAAACAGACGAAACGATTCAAGTACAATCCAATGAGATTTGGTTCGTTAAGATCATCATGCTCGATTCGTGTAACCGTTGGCGAGAAATCATGCAAGACTTTTCTAACAATAATTCGCAAAGATGGTGCGCGCTGATCGTCGCCGTAGGTGTCAAGGCCCAGTGAAACCGACAACGTGTATAAATTATCCAGCCTGGAGCGTCGCGCCAAGAACCAGAAGGCGGCTGCGGCGTTAAAGGTCTTTGCGTCTCGTTGCGCAAGAAGAATGTCGATCCATTAGGACCAGGCCAGGCTATGATAATTTGCGAGCGAGTGTTGAGAATATATCGAACGGTCGTGTTAACGGTTTGTTTTTTCGGGGAAAATTTAATAGGACGACGTGTTTTGAGGGAAACGCAGTCGTTAATATTCGAAATCTCGAAGTATTCCCCGTGTCGTTAGCATGGTAGAAGAGTGAGGAATGAAAATATAGAGATTTTATTAGATTTCTTAACACATATGTACATACATGCGATTTTATGAACTCTTTGCGCCTTATCATCATCAATACGATATAACTTCATTTATACGCATTTATCCCACTGCAACAATTATTCTGATAAACTATACAAGAATTATTTTGTATCTGTATTTATATAGCAGAGAGAAGTAAACTCAAAAGCGTTCAATTCAAGAATGTGAAAGTGAAATTTTACATAAAAATCATTCATAAAAGTTTTGCAAACTTTTTTTTAAAAATCGAGATTTTCGACATATATATCTTCTTGCTTCTCAGATACGCGATAATTAACTAGATAGTGAACTACAAATCACGAATCATTGACCAGATTCTTCAGTCAAGTGTTTCAATAACTACTTATACTCGCGGATACGGATCAGAAACAGTGATCCTCCGTAGGCGTATGCGTATACATGTGTAAGTAACCGATACGTGTGTACGTATACGCGCGGGTGACTGTGTGTACGTGTGCATGTACACGTGCATATGTATCTACGAGACTTTCTCTCGGCAAGGAGAGCACCCGTGCGCGCCCCTCGAATAGGCAGGCACGTGAAACGCGAGAGAACAATGTCTTTTTTGCCGCGCTATTACACCGCGAATGGGGTGACATAACGCGGAGTTCAATTGTCGGAACAAGCTCTTCGCCACGTAGGCGAACGTAATATTCGAATATTGCATTGTGCACCAAGATGGAACGGGTCGTCCGTCGCGCGCAAAAAGTTCGTAAAACAATATTCAAATCGCGAGATCTCGTCTACTCGTCCGGCAAGAATAGTGAAGCAACCGAGTGGGAGAGTAAGAGCCCGACTATGTAGAACATGATCGTTACTCCGCTGCCGTCAATGTAGCCGCGGAGTATACAATCTTCACCTCGGTTCTTTCGCAAGAGAACTAACCGCAGTGCCTCGAAAATCCGCCTAAACTCACGGCTCAATTCCTATATCTCGCTGCAAGCCACCGTGCCGCAATAAAAATACAATATCAGAATTATAACGAATCTTTCGAAACTCTATCCGCAAGATGTATTTTTTTGTTGACCGAAGTGAGAGCATCAAAGCAAGAAACAAATTATAACCCTTGCAAACAATCAACGTAATAATATATTCGCTCTCGCAGCTTGTTCCGATTGTTTTTGCAATAAAGTTATTTAATAGTATTTAAATATCAACCTTGCGATTCTATAATTATAAACAGCAATAAACGATTACGACAAGCATCAGCTCTAACATTGATATTAGATTATCGAGCTCCAACTATTACATAATCTAAAAAAAGGCAGAATTAATTTTTTTACGTGGTAATTTTTAGATTACTTTCTTGGCATCGCTTAATTTATTAGTCTGAACAATTTTGATTTATAAATATATGAACGTTTAGATACGAGGTATGTTTTTTGAAGTGTTCATTCCGCTGACAGGAAGCGCTACTTGTAGCGTACATGATCACAATTTGTGTATAGGCATTGAATCAGTTCGAAGACGATTGCCATTCATTGCGGCGCGAGCGATATCCGCTGCAACGATATCCGACGGACCTTCTATATGCGAGTCGAAGGCTAAATACGATCGGCCATTGACTGCTATGTGCGAACATGCTTCTGCGCACATGTGAAAATCGTCGATGTCCAGCGACCTTGTTGAATAATAATGGATCCTTCGCTGACCGAGATCGCGTCGGGGCAAACGAAAAAAAGAAGTTGAGAAATTTCAGGGACGACCTTTCGAGTGAAATTTCCGTCTGTCGCTTGTCTCGCGACTGTTTTATTGCCGATGTAAAATCGCGTCAGTGTATACTTGAATGCATCGACGCAAGTAGCAAAAGACGCGAATGGACGGATAATTAACGGCACAACAATTGAACGGTTGGGTCTTTCTAAGAAGAAAAACTTAATTTTATAAATTATTTTTTACGTATTAATTTTTTTTATATTTACTATTAATTTAAAAAAGAACAATATAACATTTTAGAATAGTCAATAATGTTTTTAATTTTGGTAATAATGAGAGATAATCCTTATTATTTTCGACTTACTTTCCGCTTTATTCGCGAAAAAGTGCTTCGTACTCTTCGTAGATCTAAAAGGCATGCGAAATGACCTGATGCACTTTGCATCTTGATCCGTAAGAGTGACGTGCTATTTTCCTTTCTATCGGATAGCGGAGGAACTCTCGTAGGTAGCCAGCACCGCTTTGGAACGGTTCTCGATCTCGATCGCGTGTCTCTTCGAGCCGAGGTCATTGGTATACATACGCGCGCATTTTACAGGGTGTGTATACAGGGTATATATACAGAGATATACATACATACACGTGCACATAGTATATTCGCGGGAAACGGAGAACCTTGACTGCACTTTCGCGGAACTCGCGCTGCATCCCAATCGACCTTTAAAGGACCAGTACTTTCGAAAAGCAGTTATAGCTCGCGAGTTCGCATAATACCTGACTGGAATTCTTGACGCCATCAAGAATAAAGACATTTTAAAATATTTGCGCCGAGACTTTGAAAGCTCTGTTGAGTTGAGTGAAAAGATTTCAGTCTGTTCTCTATTTGCAATTCCTTTTCTTGTCGCTCGTCGCGTTTCATTGTCAAACGTTTAAACTATGAAATTGGCTGCTCAATTATTCCCTAAAATGGGTTCCTAATGTTCCAATATCCATAGAAGGATCTCGGTCACAACATCGTAATTATAGGTATGCGAATGTGGAGTAGATAGTATATGAAAGCACTTTCCCACACAGGAAGTAGGTGAGATTGTTTATCTCATATTGGATCTGGAGGTAAAAAATTTGTGGACTCGTTTACCGATAGATAATTAATAAGTAGTCTTTATGATATTATTGTACGCGTTGGTAGCATATGAAGCTTTTCATTTTCTATTCTATATTTTACTTTTCTTTAACTCGATTGGAAAGTACTTTCAGCTCAAAGATTCTGATATTGTCCCGCTTTTGATAGATACTATTTATCTATTTTCACTAAGAAGATTTTCACTAGTTGAGAAATCTGTCATTAGAATGTTACGATTAAGATCAACACATAATGAATATGTATGTTGCAAGAGATTAAAAAAATGTAGCTTTTTTATATATTTTGTTATAAACTGATGATATTCTTTAGGACGATTAAAAGATAGAAGAAGCCAATAG